AGGAGGAGGTGAGAATAGAAACAAATAAATAAGCACACGTGGCAGCTACCTCCACAGTGGACCACGTTTTCAAATGCTACATCTAAGCAGAAATTCCAGGTGTCCAAGGGCCGTCAGTGGCATTGTTCTGGATGTTCAGGAGCATAAGGGAAAACACAACCTGGATCAGCAAGCCACTGCCTTCTGAACATTTGTTACCTGTCCCAGGTGCACCTTCCTTCAGGCACATGCAGGTGGGGTTTCCCACATATTTCACCTGCATTTCCAAATCCTTGGTGGAATTAGGGATCTCTAAGGTACGTGGAAGATCTCTTTCTTGCTCCTGCATCTCATGTTCAGAGATGTGTCTCCTGCCAGGGTCTGCAGTGGCATCAGAGACACAGCAGCTGTTTGACCAACAGCAAATCATCAGACTTTCATCCTATTTCCACTTTCCCACTCCTGTGACAGCCCTCCTGATCCTCTTTTTCCATCAGGTTTAATTAAAGAAGCAGCTCAGCCTGGGAGCAGGGCTGTGCTGGGGTAAAATCTGAGGCCGTGTCCAGGCTGCTAATGGCATTTCTGGCCTGTGCAATGAGGAACATCCACGAGGTGTTTTCTCAAGCCACATGACACTGCAGCTGCACAAAAACGTCCCACTTTGAGAAGCAGTTTTCTCTCCTTGTTTTGCAAGGTCTGCTCCACACCATGGGACAACTCCCATCCCTCTGTACCACCACATCCAGGTGTACAAAGCAGCTCCATTTCCCAATGCCGCCTTTGCCCCCCCAGCACAGGGAAAAGACAGATTGTCCTCACCCCACCACAAACCAGCTGGAAAAGGGCTGAGAAGGCCCTTTGCTGGATGTACAACACTGGTTGCTGCCCATGTTTTTCCCTTTCCCCTCAGCCGAGCCCCGTGGAAGCCCTCAAGAACTTTCTAGCTGGTTATGAAACTCGCTTTGGCCGAGCATAGAGATTCCTGACAAAGAGGGGAGGACAGGGCTCCACTCGGTGCCAAAGCGGCGTCAACTGATCCGCTACGGCTGTTCTACACTTAAAGTCGGACAAAGCCTCCTTTGGAGCTGTTTCTCCTCTTTTTCTAAGCAATCATCACACTTGACAGGGATGCCCAGCCACAGACAGGACACATCAAAATGGCTCTTGTGCCTGGTGTAGCCCTAAAAGTCAGATTCATGTCAGAAGGGTGGTATGTGCTGTGTTTTCTTAATCCAAACAGTTGTAGCAGGAAAAATCCTATTGTGGTCACTGCTATATTAGAAAAAAGTGACTTATGACACTTTTACATGAGAAGGATTTTATTGGTAGTATTTCTACCAGTTTGAGCCTTCCAAAGCTCACCGGTTTTCCATTTGAAAATGCCTTTCTTCAGAAACCCATGAAGTACATCAACTTTTAATAAATTTAAAAAAAACAGTATGGGGGGAGGAACAGCAATTCATATTTCTCACATGTCCAAATAACCTGTCTCTAAACTTTCTGAGCTGAATCTTTTAACATCAGTTATCAAAAATTTTAACAAACTTGAGATGGGCTTGTCATTGTTGTTGACAGCTGGGGGGGGAGATTTCAGAGGGAAACCAGCTGTTGAGGCTGGGAAACAGTGGGAATCAAGGCCCTGCTCTGGTGTGCTGGGTACATCCGTGAGAAGAGAGAGTGTAACGGAGTCTCCAGCAGGAATCTTCTTGATGGTTGTCTGGGAATGAGGCTTCATTGAGCTTCTGCACATGGTTTGAGTCCTCGGAGAGCCCCAAGGCAACGCCGGAGGCTCGGGAGCATCCGCCAGCCCCGAGCTCCTCGCCAGGTCCCTCACGATCCATGGGGTTCGTTGCTGGAGGGAGATCGTGGCACTGTGTGTTTTGTAAATAAAACATGACACTAAGAAAACTCCAGTCCGTGCGTCATCAGCTCCCTCTGGAACAGGACACGGACCCTTCCATCTCATCCTCACGGCTCTTCCAGCTGCTCCTCTTTTGTCTGACAAATTGGCACCCTCCACTCCCAAACCTCTGCAGCAGCTGCAATTTGGGGGGTAGCAAAATGTTTCAGGTGTCAGAAGCAAGAAGCAGGCGCAGAAAGGCTTTATCTTGATTGTAACACCAGGTAATCTGAATGCAAACAGTATGAGTTATGAAAACACTGAAGTGCTGGCTGTGGATCAGGTTAGGAAAAATAACATCTGACCCACAAGTCACCCAGTCTTGTTTTGGCAGTGTTTGAACAGCCCATGTAGAGCTTTGTTTGAAATGTACACAAACACACTGAATTTCACAGGCTTAGCAAATGTGTAATTTAAGGCGAGGGGAAGTGTGGATTTCTTAGGACCCGCCCATGGACAGGGACAAAATAGGGAGTGTTTCATTATTATCTGCAGATATATACATGTATGTGTGTGTGTATGTAGTGTAAATATGTATTATACACACAGTATATATGTGTATATATATTTTTATATATTTATATACAGAACAATAATGAAATCTCATTTTTCTCCTGCACATAGGTAGGTATCATACATATAATATAGATATATATTAAACTTAACCGGATTATTAGCAACCATGCAATAACAAAGCGGCATGTGCACGAGAGAGTGAGGACAAATCACTGGGGAAAGATATTTTACATGGAGGTTTCCAAGGAATGTTACCAAAGTGGTCATTTGTGGAATTTCAAGGGGGGAAAGGAGGAAAAGACACAAAGGTCTCAGAGCTGTGAGTGAGGCAAATCATACATCATCATGTGTTTAGCAAAGCAGAATGAAAATTGTAGACAAATAGAAGGGATGGAGATGTTGGTATATGAACAATGAGCTTCAAAATCAGGGAATGTTTAAAGCCCATGTGCAGAATTTAAGGACAAAGGGATTTCCCTGACTGTTCCCTCTCTGGAAATAAATCTGTTCCCCCTCTAGAAATAAATCATTGTTGTGAGCAACACCGGAGAACAAAATACTTTCAGGATATTTATAACACCTTGGCTGGGTCCCTTTTCTAATCAGGGCATGGGGCGAGGCTTGTTTTTCTTCCAGCAGAAAAAAGTTGGCTTATTAAAAAGATAATTTTGTAGTGGCATTTTAATACCTCTGGCTCTCCACAGAGTTTATGGCTGTTAAGGAAGGGTCCTTATTTTTTATGAGAACGAGAAAGACCCTAAGCAAAAATCCAGCCCCTCCAAATAGGACACCGGGCGTTGGCAGCTGCCGTTGGGACTTGGAGCTGTAACAAGGCTCGTTGGTTATCAAGGTGATGACGAGGCCTCAACAGATTCACATTTATGTGTCATTTCTTTTCTTTCCTCCTGGCTACGCCTCTTTTAACAAGAATTGACAGTGCTTTGGACCTTGCCTGATATGGTTCAGCAAGTGAGGCGGATTCTTTGCCCTGACCAATGTCTTTTGAAGGGCTGGATCCTTCCCTCCAGAAATACTGGAGTTTCCAGTGAATTCCCAAGTACATCTCCTGGGTTGCACCTGGGCTGCTGAGCTCTCCCCCACTGTCCTGTCTTCCAGAGCATTGACAGGACTGAAAGCAACTCAGGACCCCACTAAAGGTGCTCAGATCCCCAAATGACTTGTCCCTGGAGAGGGGGTAACAGCTCCCCAGGATGACATAAGAAGAAGGCATTTTCAGCAAGGAAAACAAGGCCAGGAAGGTTCCTCTGGAAACACACGACCAATTTTCCTTGTTAAATAATTCAGCTAAGTCCAAGAGAACAACTCGCCCCGCAGAATTAGAAAGGATTTGAAGGAGAAAGAAAGCATTCGGTGCAAGAGCCGGAGGGGGCCGTTCCCCGGGAAGGTGCAGCACAAAAATAGATGTAAATCTGCAAAGGCTGTCACGTTGAAGTAAATCTGAAGTAACTCTATTGTTTTCAACGGGGTTACTTTGGGTTTACACCAGCGTGACTAAGATTAGCATATCAGCCTGGGCGTGCTCATTACGATAAGGTTCGCTCGGGGAAATCGAGCGTTGAGGCTGCGATGGCAAGGGGCAAGAGCCTGTGTTTCAGGTAGACTCTGCATCCTCTTATCTCCTTCCTCCCGCAGACCTGAGGTGTGCTGAGACTGCAAGTCCTTTGCTTTATCGCCCTCACGGATCTGAACTCTGCTCCAGCCCCACCACGGCAATAAGCCGTAATGAATATTGTATAACTGTCGGCAGGAGGAATCCACCAGGCAGAGCGGGAGCAATCCATGCAGGGAGGGGAGGGGAGGAGGAAAGAGCTTGACACAGCCGTCCCTGCAAATTAAAGTAGGAGTAAATAAAGCAATTAAACAATATTCAATCAGAGATGCAAAGTGAACAGTGGGAAGGGCCCGCACAGCCCTGGCAAAAGCACTCCAGGTCATGAGCACAACCTCACTTAATTGTTTGTAGCCAAGCTGTAGCTACATACAGAACAAAATAGTAGATGTGTGAAATAAAATATCAGGATGCTTTTGGACGAGGATGCTGATTTCTTCATCCATAAGGGTTTTTTAAGTGCTGTGTGCTTGTTTCTGAATTATTTGCAGGGGCAGAGCCACATGTCTGAAGGTGCTCGGGAGCCAAAGGGCTGCTCAGGCCACATTGCCTCCAGCTGTGAGACAGCGGTGGCTGGGTGTGAGGTGAAGGATATGAGGGATGTGTTCCCCCTGCCCTAAAATGGGGTGAACAGCACCAAAACCCTGCCTGCAGCCACTGTCTCCCTCATGGTGTGCAGGGACAAGGCATGTGGGGCACGTGGGGCTGGGGGGAAGAAGGTGAAGGCGATGGTGGCCCCTTCCAGTTCCCTGCAGTCCCCAAGTCCTCAGGGACCCTACATGGAACCAGCCTTTCTTCACAAAGAGGGCGATTAGACATTGGAACCGGGGAGGTGGTGGAGTCACCATCCCTGGGGCTGTTTAGGGCCAGACTGGACGTTGCACTCGGTGCCACAGTCTAGCTGACAAGGTGGTGATCGGTCATAGGTTCATCGGTCGATCCCATAGGTCTTTTCCAGCCTAATCGATTGTGTGACTCTGTGACAGCCACCACAACGCGACCGTCGCGACAGCTGCGACACCGGGAGGCGGCACCACCGCACTACTTCTCCTGCCGGCAGCGGAAGGATCCGCGGATGGCCGTCATTGCCTCCTGTGTTCCCGCCCGGCCTACAAACGGTTCCCGGGGAGGCGCCTCGCGCGCGTGGTATCCGTGCGCCGGGCTCGCTCGCGGAGGGGACGGCGGCCATTTTGTTTAGTGCTGGGTCTGTGCTGAGGGGGCGGGCGGGGGGGGGGGCAGGGAGAGCGCGAGGGAAGACGCACAGTAGGA